TCATCGCCTGGTGAGAGGATCGCGTGTTTCTCCATCTGTTTTCTCTCTTTCGCTTCTCCGATGCGATGACGAAAATAGTTTATTTCCCTGTGGACCACTGCAAGGAGGACTTTGGACTTTTAATCCCAATTCACTGCCGCACACGACAAAGTATTGCACTCTACTTGTCTGAAATCTCCTATTTACAGAATATGTAAAGCTTTAAAGGCAACATTATTACTTGTCGTTTCTCCTTTGAGATCTTTTAATCTTAATTAAAAAAACTTTCACGCTCCGCAATAATTACGTCGTAATCTCGCTCCTTATCGATTCTGAAATTTGTATTCATAGACATTCATAGACATCTAAAAAATTAATTTGTTTTAAAAAAGAGTTAATTCTACTCAAAGTCAAATTTAATTTAGTTCCAGATTTCCCGATAAAATAACCAAAGAATCTTTAGAGACCAAAGAAGCATTAATTATTTAACGATAACGGATAAAATTATCGTAATTATTCGTAATTATATAGAAATCATAATTCTCCAGTTTTTAAGAAAACTAGTTGATTGTAAATCAACTAAACTAGTTCTACAAATATGGCCAGACGGAAAGAAATCGATTTAACGAGAAATTGGCAATTCTCAGCGAGCATTAGTATGGTAGGCGTGGTATAAATCGCATTACCAGATAAACAGGTTCGGCATTTCGGCCAAGGCTATTGTTCGTATTGATGGAGCGTCACTGCTGTTACTGTCACTACCGCATCCTTACGTCGTGTGCGTGCAAAACGATACATGATGCGCATCACGCGCTATGTGTGTGTGTACGTGAAATCGTCGCCTTGAAGTTGTCCAGTGGCGCTCAATTAACCCGCATAATAAGAATCATACGAGTTAAACGTGCCACATGAACGAATCGGAGAGTTCAAGGGAAGCTCGTTCTTGTTTTGCAAAAGTTTTTCCGTATTCGGTATTGCTATTTATACCCGAGGAATAGGATTGAATGTCCTCCAAAAGATCGGAGCTCCGCGAGCTCTCTCTTTTTCTCTTTATGGACTCCATAAATGATCCACTTATATGTGCTTCTATAGTTAGCCGGTATAGACCACACGGAATGGAGTCTAAATGTAAAGCTTCCCTGTGACTACTTTTAAACTCTCCTAGGGCCCTTTGTACTCGCGAGGAGCAAGCTTATGGTTCTTCAGCCAGTCGTAGACACGCGCCCACATCCAGACAGATAAAACGTGCGCGTGCCGATCGAAACTCGTCGGGGTATTTCTCTGAATGGCCGATAAACGGAAGCGGACTGCGCGAATCGATGCATGAAGGACTAAAAATTGTGAATTGTGCGCGAGACGCGGAACCAACCATGTTAGGGATTCCGACACGTAGGGAATTTTCACGTCACTGTCCGCGTTCCCTGCGTAATCTGTGCGTGGCGTAGCGTAGCGCAATATAGTTATCGTCATGCAATATTGCTACGAGAGGAATGGGAAAATAGCGACTGACAATCGGAATGGGTCGCTTTATGATTTCCCGGCTGCCACGTAAATATATGATGTTACGACGCGTCTTGTTGAGTGTCTGAGATGATTTAAATATGGAAATGGAGCACGATTCGTTGCTTTTCGGTCCCTCTTTCTGATTAAATTTCACACGCACGTCTACACAATACTAGACTTTATAATAACACCAGATCCCGATACGGTCTTCCCTGCGAGGTAGGAAAATAGGTATTACATATTACATTTATACGTGGAAAGAATATGATTTTATTGAAGTTGAATTCATTAAAAAATTAAATGAATCATAAAATTTAACTAAATACAGATCTGAAAATAATTTGTTGGATCATAAAAATAATTATGTAGGATGTTTAAACTAATTGCTATTAATATATTAAAACTTTTTACAGCATTGTCATAAACCTTCAAGCATTTCTACATAATTATGTTGATGATCCAACACAATTATTTTCAAATGTGTATGATAAATTTTTAGATATTTCAGCAAAATCGTTTCTTCCATGTATTGTTGCACATGTATTGTTGCATTAGAGACTTTCTAATCAATCAAGACGTAAAACAGTTAATTTTGATTAGCCAATTTTATTTTAACAACTCCTAAGAGAGAGGAAGAGATAAGAAAAAATATATAGGACAGAAAGAAAAAAAAAATAAATATATATCTTCTCTCGCGTGGACATCTTGCATACAAAACGCAGTTCGTATTCAAGTCCTAATTAGAGGATCTCTATATATTATACAGAACAACATGGCTGTTGTATTTAAATTGAATTGCGGCTCTTGAATTTAAATTGATATGAAAAAGCATCAACTACGTATTCTTCATAAATAAATAGTCTATTTTCTAACCACTCCTTTTCCACGTTTATACAGCTATCGGTGGTACGGGCTTGAAAAATGTGCACTACGAGTCTGGCTGTGGCGAGTCTTGGGCGAGTATTGTCACGAGACGCTCGCTCGACATTAATTAAATTTTTCCTCGTGCAGAGAATCACGGTCAAGCACAGTGAGCTTAACCGCGTTACTCTTATTTCGTAGTACATAGTGGGTATATCCACTGGGTGGGTTCTCTTGTATTACATAGAGCTTGGTTACATGGGGCGGTTAACAGCCCTGGTGTATCATAGATACGCGCGCGCGCGCGCACGGGCGTGGACTAAATGGATCGCAGTATCAAAGCGTTTGCCGCTTGGCCGAAATATTGCATCGGGGCTGCCGCTATCGATTACTGATTGAAAGTATTTTGGCTCGGTTGGGTATAGCGACAGGATGGATACGTTAGTGCGCGAATCTGGGACATTCTAACCGAGTTCGATAGCGAGCACTTCAAGACGACCGGTTGATAAGCACTTATAAGGACACAGAGTATCTCCAATCTTCCTAATGCAATCAATCGAACGCACGAAATCGTACGACAAGTGTGTCAACTCTACGAAGTAGAGGTGTTTGGGAGATTCTCTGTGAAAAATTTATATGTGCATTTCTCTTCATGAAAATCTTAATCAAGCCCGTTTTTATCATTGTTTGATTAATTTGTGGTTTAGACTTAATCTCATTTAGACCCGTTTTTATAATATATAGTTACCTAAAGGTCATCACGAAATTCATAATGAAATTCAGTCATGAACTTCTTGGTAACCTTTAATCTTTAAGAAACCACTTATTATAAAAATGAGTCTAATAATACGTAAAAATTGTTTTTTTTTTTTTTTTAATTATGAATCACATCAACTGATGATTTTATAGTAACTTTGAAAATTATTCTACTACGAAACCATTAGTTTTTTTTTATTAACAGCTAGAAAAACACAACTTTTATATTGTTATCAGGTCTAATCATAAATTAACTAGAAAATGAAAAATCGGACCTCAGTGTCTTGTCATCGTAGATAACTTGTTAACTGCTTCTTCTTTATCTCTATTAAAGTTTATCTAAATAATTAACTAAAAAATAATATTGTATTACTTATCTATATTTTTGAAGAACGATTCGCTCGTTTCTTCTATTACTTCGAAGAAGTGTTCATGACACAATAAAGCTCCTTTATAAAGAAGGATTGTTATGATTTGTGACAAGAAGTATTGTCACGTACACCAACTACGCCTATCGTCGACAAACACCCTGTAATTTATGATGCGTCAAACTCTGGGACTATTGACACGAAATAGTAGCGCGATACACGAAACTAAGAGACAAGTGTGATAAATCACCAGATTCTCTGCCGGCTATTGCCGTCGTATTACGCGTCTGGTTTATTGTTATAACACGCCAGTGTTATTCTGCAAAGAGAGAAACTCACACGAGCGTATCATTTATACAATACGCACAGAACTAAGGCGTTGAAAGATTTCTATCTGTAAGTTGAGCAAAGTTGTTGAATGGAACGCGTAGAACAATTCTTGCAATTTCATTAACATACTGTAAAATCGATATTTTCCTATGTGATCTACTTCGTTTCGTTAATATTGTAAGAAGTTTATTAATATCGAATATTCAACATCTATAAGATTTATTAAAAATATTATATAAACGTTGTTATTATATTCATGAAGTAGGTCAACAAAAATTTTGTATAATATCTGACTAATAAGATTTAATTTATAAAAAAATTTATTTACATATAAGTGAAAGAACGCCATATCTCGTCAAGTAAGTCTTGGCTGACTGAGATGATATTTTCTGTATCACTTTTATATGACAAAAGTTATAGGTATAATAAGCGTCTTTAAAACATTATAAACTTTTATATAAAAAAAGTTTTATTAACATCAATAATGTTAAATTGCTTGCTGCCAATTTAACTTGTGATATTATGCACATTCATCTTCCATTTAGAACTGCGTTTCAAGATCGACAAATAATCGTGCGATTTGTTTGAATTGGAAATTATAAAATTTACACAAAAATAGGCAGCAAGTTTCACAAGATCTGATATGGATTTCTTCACTCATTTGTTAAATATTTTATGGTCGATTTTAATTTAATATTATTTACTTAATCATTCATTTTTCATTATTTATTGATACTTGTATATACTTGAAAATTGATTTTTTTTTTGTTTAAACCAACTTCAGTATGATCAAAAACATATTCTTCTTTGAGCTTTTGGTATTTTAATACACTTCGTGTTATCTCTATTTTCTGTTTACGTCAGCTTTGCGTTTCTCGGTGCTGCATTTATCTCTAGTAACAGCAACTAACAATTCATTTGCCTTTATTCAACATGAACAGAAATTACTGTAGTTGCACCAGAAATGACGCGGTTGCTTTTGAATTTGAGAATTGTACAGGGTTGAAATGAACGAGGGAGAAAAAGGTCGTGAGAAGGGTAGAGTGTCCTCTCCGTAGCGACGTTGTAATTACGCGAGTACTTTAATGTTCTTGGTCACGCAAATGTCGAGGATTGTCGATCTCTTTCTTTTTTCTTTTTTCTTTTTTTTTTCATGGAAATGCAGCGGACAAAATTCTCAAATTCGCGTCGCTCTACAAAGAATACGCGAATTATGTAAAATTTTTATGCACAAGTGATGCACAGTTTACGTTTTTATCTCTATCATGCGATCTGCATTTTCTCATGCCTCGGTTGCTTTTCGATTCTTTGTCGCTTTTCACAATGTAATATTGAAGGTAAAGGATTCATTGAATCTATGTGCTTTTCCGATTCTCGCTTTTGTGCTCGATGAACACCATGATTGGTCTTACAATTCACCCCGATAGGACTGTCTAGCTAGCAATTAATACGCCCGGGAGTTTCAGGGGTGACAACGTGCCTCGTGAGGGGAGAAGGGAGTCTACCGTTTTCATCTCGTGCAGGAGGCGTAGTTCTTTCGTGCGGAAAGAGAGCAATAGATCGACGCGGACGTCGGCGTCGCGACGCGAGAAAGACCGCGAACGTACAAGGAAGAGGAGGGAGAAAGACAGAAAGGGCTGAGGAGAAAGAAGGAAAGAGAAGAAGCTAGATGAGAGGATTCGTGGGGACAAAGGGATGTCGTCGTGACGGCGCAGACTCGGTGAACGCCGGGCGTCCCGACGCCTTCTCGCGTCCCTTTTATATCTCGTCTTCGCCAGTACATCTCTAACGATTCACATCGCACTTTCCCCATTCACACATACCGCGGAAAAACGACGCCGGCGACGCGTCTTCACCCCTTTGCCCTTCATCCCCTCCTCTCCCTCCCCCTCGTCTCTCATTTTCTTCCATTTCTCCGAAAGCGAAATTTGTGTTTCGACTCTGATCGTCTGATTGTCTCGTGAGCGCGCGAATGTTCATACGCGTCTATATACACGGTTGCACACGCGACACGCGCGTGCCCACCGTCATATCTCGTATACGTGTGTGACATAACGAGTGCAACGACTGTGCGTCATAGTCCCTTCCACAGCACGATAGACTTCGATCTCGCGATCGAAAGTTGCCCCGACGCTTCCGAGCGATAGTGTCTCGTCACAGGTAGATATACTCACGAGAGTTTATAACGTAATATTAATAATCTGCTCTCTCGCGATTATTTACGAGCCTCCTTTAATCTCTGATATTTTCGCCATTCATTACTGTTTCCTTCATCGAGCGATTTATTTACGCTTGATTTTCCGCGAGCTGCATGCTGATGTTAATCACGCGTAAGCGATACGCATATCTGGGAAAATAAATAGCCATTCAGACTGTGAGCGCACCCTCGTCGCCCACGTAACGCACGCATGCACACAACGCACGCATACACGCACCACGGGAGTGCGCCGTGCGGCTAGAGAGCCTGGAGATGCAGATTTGCATGGTAACGTTCCAGATTTGTGAATGGTGGTGCGACCTTGCGGTTGGAATGTAAAGTATTAAACCGACGGAGGCTCGTGCAACTACGGATAAAATCGACGTATACGCGAACCGACCCCGCCACGTGCACTGTGTTGCAATTATGCGGCGTGCATGTAACACGGTGACCTTATTTCACAAATGACAATCTTGCATTTTTCAGACATTATATCGCCTTTCCCGCGGAGATCGTTGGCGACGAACGAAGGTTTATTCGCGTTCCCTTCATGACTCCGAGATATGCCAGCTTGTTAAAGTAAACATCCCAGCAATCTCAGAGAGACCGAACATTTACACAAAACTTTATTTGTTTAACAATATGATACAAGTTTGGACCGATAAGAATAAATCTAATTAAAATATTTGGTGAAAACGAATTTTTTATTTTTTGTTTAAATTTCTACTTTGTGACTTGAAAAAAAGGCGATTTTTGGAAATTTTTTTGGAAAAAAGTAATGAAAATATATACTTCATATATTATTTGTTATACTTTTTTCTTTAATTTTAAATTTATGAAGAAATTTATGAAGAATATGTGTTGATTGTTAAAGGCTTCATATGAATAGACAGAGCATAAGTATAACATAAGGTCGCTAAATCAACAATGAGCATCTTATGTAAACCAATATGACGACATTGTGCTCATTGGTCCAGCAGTTTTATGTTATGTTTATGCTCTGTTATGCATTTCATGTGTGAAGCTCTTTAGTCTGTATGAAGTTTCGGGAAAGAAACCTCTCCAACTTGAACTTGGCGCCAGAACGGAAGTACTGCAGTCGCATCAATCATTTGAAAGAGTTCAAAAGATTTTCCTATTCAGAAAGAATGTCTCTACGGATAGACTATGATAATTGACTTTAGATAAAAATTAACAAAATGGCGATTATTCGAAAAAAAATTTGATTTTTTACCTTAAATTGTGCTCTTATTTTTGCAATAAAAAAAAGTATCATTGATATTGATATAATTGTAGTTTATCTATAGAATAGAAAAAATATACTCTACAATCATGGAAAATTTGAAAGCGATACGTTTAATAGTTTTTGCTCCCTTCCGTTAGATCGAAAAATAGTTTTTCGAGAAAAACGCGTTTAAAGTTTCAAGTTTATTTTTTTTTTATTATTTACGTCTATATTTGCCACGTTAAGGTTTCAATATTATACACATTTGGGGCTATTAAATTATACAAAAAAAAATTTTTTTTCGACCTCAGCAAGATAAAATGGATCTTTAAATATTTCTATGTGAATTTATATACATATTTGATTCTGTAAACTGCGCAGCGAAATCTTTTTTGGTTTTGAAACGTAATCATGAGAAGAACCAGAGTATAGTAATATCATTTTTATCAAATTGACAAATAATTTAACAACTGATACTAATAAGCATCTCTGTAAGAATATTAATAATCAGATATTAATAAGAAATCATATCAAATCTACAAGTAATTTTTTAAATAATTTTATTTATTTGTGAAAGATATTTATTCATTTAAATTATTATTCATCTCAAATGCTTTAAACATGCTATAAATTTTATGTAAGTGTCCAGATATATAGATACATGGGACGTTTACTTTATCGTATGTTCGCTTCGTCCGTTCTGATATTCTGATGCTTTCGATCGCTCGATATTTGCAACATTCGAGATAGAATTAATCTTGATTGCTTTTTTTCCATCTCGTAAAAGGCCATCTGCGGAAGAGCACATAGATGATTTATTACACGCGCATACGTTGCCAAGTGTATTTTGACAGAAGCTTTATCATGGATTATGACGAACGCGTCAGCAATATGAACGCGTTAAAATCACTGTCGATACATCACAGAATTTTACATGAGATTCTCGGTCTGTCTCAAGTGGGTGTTCTGCGAAGAGATAGTCGTACTTTCTACGCGTTTCCATGAGAAATCGTATATTTCATTTGATGATAAAATTAAAATTACTCATTAAAATTACATACTTTTTTCTCTCGAGTTCGCTTATTACGCGCGCGTAATAAGGTGGATTACATTATAGTTTAACGACATTATTTACTCCTACGTGTTTTACGGGCACGTGGGTAAGATCAGCACCTAGGGAATGGCCGATCAAGGCGAGCCTCTACGTGGGTCGAGCGTGAACCACAAATGGTCACGCGACCATTTGCCGTCGCCATATTGCCAAATTGTCTGTGCATCCGCTGGTGTTTCTGCTACTCATTTATCACATATTAATATACATGACTTTCAAAGACAATCAACACCGCATGTTGCCGATGTATTCATTTCTTCGACTTAAAATAAATATTGAAGAAAAAATTGATTTAAATATAGAATGAACGACGAGGTTCTTTCGCTGCCGGAAGAAAAATCCCGAGCGTAAGGAAATAAAATCAACCATAATTCAATCGAGCTGCTGCTCGTTTTAACGAAATCTAAGTGACAAATCTTTTGTAAGTGCCTCTCTATGGAACTGCTCGCCGAGTGAAACTTGAGTCCGTGCCAGTTCTCCGGTGCCCCGAAGTTCCAGCACGATTGGATAAAATAATTGGATTATCGTGAAAAAGGGCCAATGTCAATATAAGTACCTTCGGATTTTCCGGAATATGGCGTGCATGTCTGTGCATTTCGTTACTCGCGACAGAAATGGCTCTTTGATATTCCGATGATTCGCTCTTAAGTTAAACTTTAAAATATCTCCTAGAAGAAGCTACTTGATTGATGAAGCGCAATGAATCCGAATTTTCTTTCCTGTCGGAAATAATACAAGTATGAATCAGGCCTTAGTCTTCATTTTCTGCATCGTGATTAAATTTAACTTGATGATAATGTAAAAATTGTATTTTTCTAGCTACGGTTAATTATTAAACTAATAGGTTTTTTATAGCGAATAACTTTTAAAGTACAAAACTATCAATTTTGTGATTAATAGCTAGGAGAACATAATTTTTACATTATCATCAAGTTAAGTGTAGTCCAGTTTTATCTCTGATTAATTTATAGTTTAGACTTAATCTCACTTAACTTGACAATGTAAAAATTGTGATTTTCTAGCTATGATTATATAATCGCAAAACTATAATGGTTTTTGTAGTGATGATTTTAAAAGTTATTTACTACAAAAACAGTTTAATGATTAACTATAGATAGGAAAATGTTTACATTATTATCAGATTAAGCCTAATCATAAGTTAATTAGCAAATAAAAAAGATCTAAGTCTAAATCACAAGTTAATCAGAAAATAAAAACCGAGCCTGAAAATAACAGAAGGACGATGGTCTCGGCAACCAACGTTGTTTCGGTTACTGTGCTATTGATTTTTGCTGTTTGTTTCGTCGACCCCTACACACCCTATGATTCCACCCTTCTGAATCATTCACCATTACCTCCGATTGGTGGTGGTGGTGGCTGGCAGCAACCCTCCTTAATAACGACCCGGCGCGGCGGTCTCACGTGTCCTTATTCCATCACGTTTTGCTAATTTCGATCGAAATGACTCATCTAATTAACGAACCGTGGACATTTGCCATTTTATCATATCTGGAATTTCTCGATTTGACAAAACTTGATAGGTGTTCCGCATTAATATACGATCACGACCCGAATCCTGAATTTCTAGAACGGCAGAAATTTGCGGGAATAAATCAAACTGATGGGTGTTACCCGTGACTGACCACAACGCGCGTATATAGAATATTTAACGGTAATGTAAAATTTTTGCTTCAGCATGCGAAATAGAACGAGCGCACCTTGAGAGACAAGAAAATTTATGCCGCTGATACTCGCATTGCATTTATGTTAATATTCTCTTTTTTTTTTTTGACGTTTTTCTTTTGTATCGCTTACGTTTTGCGCACAAGATACCGGATATGCGAGGCGCTTTATGCGGAGCTTTCGGAACATATCGATCGGTTTGGACTTTATGGCTTCGACGAAGAGGATATACATCCCCATGTGGTCGCCATATACGTCACGCACATCGTCACGGTATACGCACCCATGGTATGTTCGTTACATGAAGATCTATTGTTGATTGCCCGCTTCGTAGAGTGGCCGATAACGGTTCGGTGACAAAGATAAAAATAAATGTATGCTTTGGAGAAAGTATTGTTCCGGAATCTTCGTTCGCGCGATAACAACTCGGATTGCATCGAACAGTGGGAGGAAACCTGTGGGCGTAATCGGCTGAAAACGTTGGGCTTATCAACTGTGCTGTAGTATACCGTAATCTAAGTTTTCATTTTCTGAGAAAAAATATAAATTAAATATAAATATTTAAAAAATATATGTAGCTACAAAAGGAATATTCACTCATAAATAGCGTTGATATCGATCTCTTTTCCGTCATGTTTGATATAAAAGATTCTGCATTAATCATAGGAGAAAGTAGTTTCAGTCAAATCGTTTGAAATTGTGATATTTTGTAGCTTATGCTGGTAAAAAAGCTCCATAGACATAACCATAAAAAATGGACAGACATTTTTAAAGCACCACAAGTACAATTATAAAAAATTCAAATTGCTGTAGCATCATTTGAAAGTTACTATTTTGGATCTAATCAGAAATGTATCTTTGCAATGGTCAATTCGTTCTTATCTGTATAAGCATTTTTTGTATATATAAACATGTATATAATCATATATCTATCATTGAGTAGAGAAGGCATAATTCAAAATAACAACTTTTAAATGATGCTTCAAAAATGTCTGTTCATTTTTTATGGTTTTGTCTATGAAGATTTTTGATTAGCATCTTATAAAATAAAACTACAAAATATATCAATTTCGTCAATTTGACTAAAATCATTTTTCCATATGATTATATAAAGGAAAATTAAAATCACATGATGTTATTGATAATAAGAGCATTCTCTTTCTGTATCGCTGTCAATTGCACTGTAATATGTCATAATCATAATTTTCTGAGAATATTAAAAGTACATCTATCAATAAATGTTTATCTATAAGTAGCATTTATATATCAATCATATCTCTTTTCAAAATAAATTTATGTGAAGGAAGATTAAGATTGTTGATGTTATTATAACAATAATTAGATATCATGTCAGTTCTGTAAATAGATATATTATTTCCATTTCATTCTATAGATTGATTGAGTTTGTATAATGAAAAAATGATTGGCCGAAAAGTCCATTCGGTCGCCACGTCTCTTTTATGTATGCGATTGTATCGTAACGATACAAAAGATAAGATAATGATATGCAACTTCGTTTCGTGAAGTATCTATTGTTCATGAATTTCACGACCATTGCCGTACGATACGCGCAATATGTTTGGCAGTTTTCGGTCGTAACGCTTAGCGTTTGGTATAATCGATGTGTTTTCTAGAAACTGTGTGTTTTAGGAGGGCTCGTCGTTACAGGTACAGACTTTTACATATTTAGCATTTCGAGTACGTTTAGATACGCGCGAATGAATGTGAAATGTGAAGTGAAAGCAAAATTGGCAGCCATATTGAAATTTTAATTAGTAAATATATCGTACGTATAATACTGAAATATGTATTATTGCAGATTGCTATTAAATTCTGTTCATAACGATCGATATAATTATATATAATGCTTCGTTAATATCACATTGGTAAATATGCATAATAAAACGGATTCGCTCGAGATATTGAAGTTTTCATGTCAAGTTCGCGCAAATTTAGTTACGATAGAAAGTTTTAGTTCATGTGATTAGCTTCATAACTAGAAGTTATCATAACGCGCGTGTGTTGGCGTTATCTTCCTACGAAATTATCTATTTGCCATTCTAATTACTAAGAATTAGCATCAATGCGCATAATTACTCGAAAGTTATAAGTCGACGAGTTTAAATTTCACCGACCGCAAATTCAAGTTGGTCAAGAAATCCGTTGTCAAAAAAAAAACCGCAAAGAATAGAATAGTCCTCGATGCAATACTATTAACGGATGTTGCGTGTCTCGTGATGTTATCGATGTGCAACAATTCCGGGGCGGAGATCCTCGCGGCGGCGATCGGCGTAAGCGCGCCTTAAGATACAACTATAAGTGACTGCATCGGTGAATGGTACGCTCAGACTAGGTCAGCCCATAACTATCGCACTATTATAGACAAGGTCGTTCCTCCCTCCCTTCTATTTGCTTGTTTGTCGAATGCAGTGCGTCGTAATGTTGCATTATTGTACAGTTTATCGTAGTAGCAAAAAAAAAAACCGAAAAAAGTGAAACAACCCGCCTGGAGGAGTCTCAAGTTTCCGAAAAATCGGCGTCCCATAACTGCACAAATATTACCGTATGAATAGTCGCGACGTTAAAACGGTTCACATCAAAAGATACTGGAATTACTGGAAATACCGGATTATTTTATACGTGTCAGAGCGAACATTACGCGGACCGATCGAAAAATCGGCGACTCCTTGGCACTCTATATCGAAAATTGATTTACTCCAAAACAGGATTCGATTTCGTTATCGGTAAAAAGCTCTTAGTGCATGTAAAGAATTAATCACCGATAAATAAATATCTAAATAAATATCTAAATTTTTAATTTTTTTCAAGAAGTTTTATCTTGGTTAAGAGAATTTGAAGTTCATCCATAAGAATTAACGTTAGTTCATGAAGAGACTCGTAAATTTAATAGTAAAGTAATTATAGATAATTTGATTGAGCTACCGGAGCTACGATACACTTCATAAACGACATTACGCGTATTTAAAGGACTTCCGAGTATAGTAACGAGAGATATTAAACGCCATGGGAATCGCTCTTTATACCCGGGCTCATCGTAACCGCCATTGTGCCGGTAGGAAGTGCATAATATAACAGAAAGTGAGACAGTTCGCTTCCTGAAAAAGCGATAGCGATACTACTTGTAATTCGCCGAGAACAATAGTCGCGGCAAATCGCAGGTCGGAAGATCTTACGACTTTTTCGCCGTGTTACGCGTACACGCATGCATTTCCCGTTCAATTTTTCAAAAGAAAAACAACAATCCTACGGTTTATCTCGCTAGTTACGTCGAGCATGTTTATATGGATAGACATGAATAATCTGTCTGTTAATGCTGATTTGCAAGCGTGCTGCATCTGAATATGTTCATGGTTCACGAGTTAAGTGGACCACGTAAAAAAAGCGAGGTGTACAAAACGCACTTGAGAAAATCTTGTTACTCTTATAAGATTTTTCTCGGTATTTGTGCTGAACGTCAGCGTGGGTTAATTTCGTATTCACATAACTGTATTTTTCATTAATTATTTAATTAATAAGTAGAAATTGCAACAAATTTTATGTTTGATAATATTCATACAAATTTTTGCATGTATATTTTTCAGTTTTATAAATTGCGCGCCAAAATTCAGTTTATCGAACTTGAAACACAATCATTGAAACTAAAATATTAATATCTCATTAGATAATTGATCGTAAATTCAACAATGATATCATGCAACTTATTATAATCAAAAAGTTATAATTTTTAATTGAAGAATGATTGAAAGCCTAGAAATCAAACTCGCATAATTTAACAGATTATTAACAATAAGAATCTTACTGGATCATACATTTGAAAACTTAACAATAAGAAATTGATTCCCGATCGAGATATTTTTTGCCATAAATTTATTTAGTTTTTCAGTATATTAATATCTTTCTAATGAGGTATCTGATTGAGCATCAAATTATTAAAATTGCTTGTCAATTTAATTCGTGATATTACTACAGTAATTTAATTGCGTTTATAAGTTCGAAAAACCAATTCCAGCGTGCAATTTGAATGACTACAAATATGGTATGTGTATGTATATATATATATATA